CAACAACAAAAAAAAACAAAAACAAACAAACAAACAAAATACAACACCAAAAAAAAAAAAAAAAAAAACAAGGATAGAAAAGATGGAAAAGAATAGATCCCCTGTAAGGATATTGCAATAATGCATCTGAAATGTTGAATATCTAGAGAATACATATATAAATATATCGAGGTACGTATGTTTATATATGTCTGGATCTTATAGACCCATTTGCATTTTACTCCTGCTCTGCAATCCCTTTTATACAAAGGATCTGCCTCTCTTCTTTTATGAACTGTATAAATAATCTTTTTTTTTTTTTTTCTAAGCACTAAGGTGAGAAAATAGACTTTCCTCTCGAGGAGAATATGTATGCAACTGCCTTGTATGTGTGGCTCTTCCCGGTGCAGTCTCCGTTGTATTTTCCCAAGGCTTTTCATGTATCTTTAAATCTCTTACAGTTGGAATAATTCTGCCAGAGGACGCTGGTGACGTGCTAGAAAAATCCAAGGGCGGTTTTCTGAGTGTGTCCTAGGGAAGCCAGGCAGCCCAGGTGGAATATTTGCCATCGGTACCGGAGGGTGAAGCGTTGACAGAGCTAATATTCACAGCACAATGCCTTTTTAGTGGATATTTTTAATTAGAGTTTAGCCATTGACAGCCAAAGTTCTGCCATATTTTGATACACCACCGTTTTTTAACTGGAAGCTTTTCTTAAGAAAAAAAAAATTTAATTATTTTATAAATAAGCACAATCTTATTTTTATAAGAAATGTTGGGGGGAGGGAGCCAAGAAGGGGGAGCTGGTACCAAAAGAAAGGGAGCGTAGCTAGAGGCACGGTGCCAAAAAAACACCTCGGTGTTATTGGGATGGTTGGGATGTGGGAGCAGGTGTGGGGGAGCTTCAGGTGCTGCCGTGGGACCAGGGCACTGGCAGCGTGTCCCCACCCCGAGGTCTTGCCTGGCACAAAAGATTTGATGGGAAAATAATGTTGATGTGCAAATGCTGGCAGGGCAAGCAGGAGGATGGTGGTCCCTAAAGCATCCTTAGCTCCCTAAATCCACACAGGGCAGCTGGTGGATGCTGCCTGGGGGGGCTCAGGTGCCCTGCTCTGCTTTTGGGGGGACCACGGCAAACACCCAAAAGTCACTCCTGTGGGTGCCACATCCCAGGCTGGGATCCTGTTTGCCTCTCCAGGTCCCCATCCATGGCTGGATTTGTGGTGTGTGCACCAGCAACGTGTGTTTCCATGTTGGTACAGGCAGGAAAATTCCCCAAACTCACCCCCAGCCTCTTTTTTTGCCCCCTCTGCTGGCGGGTCATGCTGGCAGCCCCTCCATCCATGGGATCCTCACCCACTGCCCTGCCAAAACACGGAGCTGGAGGGGGGAAAAAGGATAAATTGTGGAAAGAAATGCTTGACACTGCTCAGAATTGGGCAGGGGGCAGCTAAACCAGGGCCTCTCCCTTCCTCCCCCTCATCCCGTTATCCTGAAGCTGGGCCGGAGTGTCGGAGCGATGGGGTTGGGATGGATGACGTTGAGGGCTGTGATGGAGCTCACCCCTGGGCGAGCAGGAGCGGTGCCAGGGAGCGGGGAGGGGACACAGAGGTGCCATTGGAGCGGGGGGGGGGGACACAGAGGTGCCATTTATTCCCATTTATTCCGCAGGTGGCCGGGGCGGCTCCGGCGGGGGCCGGGGGTGGCCGTGCCCGCCCTGCCCCTCGGGCCGTTCCGCCTGCAATAACGAGCTGTCTGTCTGCACAAAATAGTCCTTTCTGTGAAAGGATCTTCCCGTCGGGGCGATGGGAGAGCCGGTGACTGTGTTGCAAAAGAACAAAGAAAAAAAAAAAAAAAGGAAAAAAAAATAACAACAAAACTCAAGGAAAACTGTACGAACCCACCCTCCCCCCCCCTCCCCGCCCCGGAGCGAAATTCTTTTGTACCAATGAAGTTTGTTGTGTGCCTTTCGCGGTACGGCTGGACGTGACAATAAAGTGACAGTTGTTCGCATTGTTTTGACTCGTGGAGATCTAAAATGCTCCCAGGCTTGAGGGGAGGGGGGTCTGAATTTAAGGACACGTTGCATTTATTGTGCTCCCCGCTCCGGCGATCCCGGCTCCGCAGAGCTGGTTAAGGCAACTCCCGCCTCGGGCGGGGGAATGGACGGGCTGAGCCTTTCAGTTCGGATTTTTGCTGATTTTTACGGAAGTGGCAGCCAGGTCCAGCGCTCTGGAGTCGGCTGGAGGTGCTGGGGGGGATGTAGATCCTGTGCTCCTTGCAGCTGTGCTTCCCGAGGGGTCCCCAGCTCGCAGAAGCCCTGGGATAAAGGGGTGAGCCCCTTGTTGTGGAGCTGGTTGGGAAAAGCCTGTCCCCAGGGCCTCCCCCAGTCCTGCTCCCCACCTCAGGCAGGGAACAGGCAGGAGTTACCAGTGTGATGAGTGAGTCCGTCCTCTGCCGGCCACGCTCCACCCCTTCAATCCCCCTTTCTCCCTCCCCCTCTGCTTGGAGAGGGCTCTCCTTTGGGACGGCGGGAGGAATGTTTGGGAGCATCAGCCAGGTGAGTTCTCCCAAGGGAGGATCCCTTGGGTGAACCACCTGGTGCGTGATAGAGGGTTTGTGCTGCTTTTCTCCTCCACAACACCCGGGAGCACCATCCCATCTCCCACCAGCGCTAATTAAACTCCTCGGAACATAATTAGCCAGCCCTTTTCCTTGTGATTCTGCCAGGTTTTGCTGATCCTGGCATCTCCTTCCTCCAGCCAAGGAAAACTGTTGTGGATAGTACAAACACCCACAGCCTTTCAGTGTCCCCATTCCCGGCTGCTGGAGCGTCTCTGGATCCTCAGTGTGTTTATCCTCTCGCAGGGAGAGGGTGTGGAGGGACAGGACAAGAGGGAATGGCTTCCTACTACCAGAGGTCAGGGTTAGATGGGATATTGGGAAGAAATTCCTGGCCATGAGGGTGGGCAGACCCTGGCACAGGTTGCCCAGAGAAGCTGTGGCTGCCCCTGGATCCCTGGAAGTGTCCAAGGCCAGGTTGGATGGGGCTTGGAACAACCTGGCTTAGTGGAAGGTGTCCCTGCCCATGGCAGGGATTGGAATGAGATGATCTTTAAGGCCCAAACCATTCTGGGATTCTATGATTCCATGAAGATGATGATGAAGAGCCTGCTCTCCCATGGAGAAGCACTGCCCCCCTTCCCTGGCACCCTCAGCATCCACAGCACCAGGAGCATCCTGTGCCTTTTCCACGGGCTCCAGAAATAATTGCATTTTACCAGAGAGTTCCCTTTGTCCTCTAAAAATATCCCTTGGCCCCGGCGAGGCGGGCACTGACCACGGCAGGTCTCGGTGCCTAATTGCTGATTTCTGCTCAGACCCGACATTTTCGGGGCAGGAGGGAGGAGCACGAGAGAATCAGCAACTTCTGGGAGGGGGACTGCATTGTCTGCTGCTAAGTATAGCCTCCAGATTTCAGCCCTGGCCTAAAAAAAAAAAAAAACCCTAAATTTTCCTCAAAGCAGATGTGGAAGGGTTTTTCGGACCAGCCAGCCCTGTCTCCGCCCCGGGGGGGTGGTGGGGGGGGGTGAGGAGGGGAGGCGGCTCTTCCCTCCCCGTGGACTGTGTTTAATAAAGGCTAAATAGGAATGGATTTAATGAGTCCCCCTCCCTTTGATGACTCGGCCTCCATTTCTCCTTCATCTTGCCACGGGAGAGGTGTCCAGGGGAGGGAAAGGTCCTCCAGTTCCCATCCCGGCGTGTCCCCAGGCACCCACGCTGGCCTTTTCCCTGGGATGCTCCCGGCTGCTGGCAGCCCTCCCGCTGCTCTGAGTTACCATTTCACAGATTTAAGCTCTGACAAAAAAGGGCTGCACTTGGGCCACCTTGTCTCCAGCCTCTCCACTCCCAGACTTTGCACCTCCCGTCCCCATTTGGTGGCAGCCGGAGAAGGGAAATGGCACTTTTATGGAGCCAGCTGCAAAATGCACGATAAAGAAAAGGGGAGCGCTGCAGTGGTGTCCTTAATTTATTAATTAATTTTGCAACCGGATCCAAATAAGAAGCCGCTTTTTTCCTGCTGTTAAGCAGCGATGGCTGCGCCGGGGGTGGGTGCCTGGCACAGCATCCTCCTTTTATCAGCCCTTCCAAAACAAGCTGGACATACACCCGTCAACACCACCCCAATCAGGCACCAGTGACTAATTGGTGATAATTACAAAGATCTCCCCCGTCTGCTGGTGTGTTTTGCAGGGCATTTTTCGGCACCCTGGAATTATCACTGGCTGCAACAGTTTTAATTAGCGCGGCACCGAGCGACCCCTGCGCTGCGCTGGGGTCAGTGCGTGGGGGTGGGGGGATCGTGCCACTGCCAGCTCCTTGCTGGGTGCCAAGGGGTGCCAGGGCTCCAGGGGGTGGCTGCGGGCAGGGGTTTTGGGGCGTTTGGATGGGCCGTGCCAAGGGCTGAGCTCCCGCTGCCCTGCTTGGAGGGCAGAGAAGGAAATCAGTCATCGAAGGAAATCAGTCACCGAGGGTTGCTGTGGAAACGGGAGGGGAAACTCGGTTTGTGGCAGCCGGTGCCTCCCTGCCAGGAGCCCTGTGGAGCCCGGCCAGTGGAGGGGTGACACACAGCCCCCCTCGTCCACTGCTGAGGCCCCGAGGGGCTCCCGGTGCCGCTCTCTGCGGGATGCTCCAAAGGGAAGCTGCATCCCACAGTGCTGCTGCTGCTGCTGGGGGCATCGGCAGGGCTGTTTTGGGGGGCCAGCCCCCTCCCCAGCCCTGTCTGGGGAACACAAGAATGTTCTTTCAAAAAATCGTGGAATCACGGAACGGTTTGGGTCGGAAGGGACCTTAAAGTCCATTTTGTTCCACCCCCCTCCCACGGGCAGGGACACCTCCCACTAGACCAGGTTGCTCCAAGCCCCGCCCAACCTGGCTTTGGATACTTCCAGGGGTGGGGTATCCCCAAATTCTCTGGACAAACTGCGTCAGGGCCTCCCCACCCTCACAAGGAAGGATTTCCATGAGCACACAGCTGGGCTGGCGGCGGATTTTTCAAGGGGCAGAGGGAAGAAAGGAAAAAGCCACTTCATAAAAACCCAACCAGCCCCCTTGTGCTTCCAAAATCTTCCACCTGAAATCCCAAAATCTGGGCATGTGGGCTTTTACCGATTGAGAAGAAAACATAAAAAAATACTGAGTGATCCCTGAGATGTGTCCTGGATGGGAACTTTAGAGCTGGGAAGGGCTTGAGGGGAGAGGGAGGGTCTGGGGGTGCCAGGGGACTGCTGATTGGGGTAGGGGAGGGAGTGAAAGAGGGTTTGGAGGGCTCAGGGGACATGGGGAAATTCGGAATGGGGCGTTTGCAGTTGTGTGTTGTGTGGGGCGAGTGGGTTCAGGGGGGCTGTGGGTGCAGGGATGGGTATGTGGGGTTTGGGATGTGTGATGAGGTGCGGGGCGTGTGGGGAACGGGGGGCTGTGATGGGTGCGGGCGGTGCAGGGTGAAGGCTGTGTGATGGGTGCAGGATGTGTGATGGGGTGCAGCAGGAGTGGGGCTCAGGGTGTGTGATGGGTGTAGGGGGGTTGTGGGGTGCAGGGGCGTGGGTGTGTGGAATGCGGGTGCCCGTGGGTGTGGGGTGCAGGATGGGGGTACAGCAGGTGGGTGGGAGGGTTGTGGGGTTGGTGCGTGGCACGTGTGGGGTGCAGGGTCGGGGAGTGGTGAATGGGGGGCACAGAACAAGGGGCTGTTGGAAGGGACCGGGGCAGGGACGGGGACAGGGAGATGAGCAGAGCCAGGGAGAGGGACCGACTCAGGGTGAGGGGCAGGGGAGGAGGCGGCGGGGTCTGGGGAAAGGCGATCTGCAAAACCCGGGAGGCTGAGAGGAGAGGAGAGCAGGAGGAGGAGGAGGAGGAGAAGAGGAGGAGGAGGAAGTCGGGGCTGAGCCGCTTCCTGTAGGCAGCGGGATGAGCGCAGACAAAGCTGGGTGGGGACTCGCCGCTCGGGGCTGCTGCTGACCACCCTCCTCCTCCTCCGGCCGCATCCCTCCGGCCCTCCCTCCTCCATCCATCCCTCCCTCCCTCCATCCATCCATCACAACCATCCGTCCATCCATCCCTCCATCCCTCCGTCCGTCCGTCCCGCCGCCGCCGCCGCCCGCCCCGCGGGGCACCGCCGCCCGTCTCCAGGTACCGCCGGGCACACGGGGGGAGCCGGGGCTGGGGGCGCTGGGAGCACTGGGAGCACTGGGAAGGCTGGCACTGGCCGCACTGGCGCACGGTGGGGCTGGGCAGGGCGGTCCCCACCCCCTCCTCCCGCTGTCACTGACCCCCTCGGGGACCGAACCGCTCCCAAATCACGAGAAAATCCCCCCCAAAAATCCCGCGGGATGCCAATCCCCGCATCCCCCCAACCCCACGGGGACCCCACTCTGTCGGGGGGCGGTGGGGGACGAGGGGTCTTACCCCGCCGGGGTCTGGGAGCCGGGAAGGTGCCTTGTACGGGGAGTTCAGTCTCCCAACAAAGGTTGGATTTAGAGGGTTTGATCCTCCTTAATCAACTGATTTGCCATCACAGGGGAGGCTTTTTCTGTGGATGAATGAGACGTAGTGTTCTTTCTTTCGCTATTTTTTTTTTTAATCATGGGAAGGAACGGGCAGACTTTCCCAACCCCAAATCCCTGGAGCAGCCTCAGCTGGGATGAATCTGCCCCAGCCTGGCTTAGAGGGATCTGGGGGCGATGTCCACGCAGGTGGAGGGAAATCCATCCTGCCGCGCCTACAGCAGTGTCCCTCTGCCCACCATTTCTACCGAAATCCTCATTTTTCCCAGTGGTGGTTTGAAAGGCGAGTGCTTTGGGTGAAGGAACCCCGGGAAAATCGCCGGGAAGATGCGCTCGGGGAAACCTGGACCGGGGCTGCTTTTCCCCGGTGGGAGGGGAATCCAGCAAAAAGCTGACAAGAGGGGAGATGTGGGTTAGGTATCAGGAGAAGATTCTTCCCTGTGAGGGTGAGGCCCTGGCACAGGTTGCCCAGAGAAGCTGTGGCTGCCCACTGGATCCCTGGAAGTGTTCAAAGCCAGTTTGGATGAGGTTTGGAGCAATCTGGTCTAGTGGAAGGTGTCCCTGCCCATGGTGGGGGGGGGTGGAATGAGATGATAATTAAGGTCCCTTCCCAGCCAAACCATTCTGTGATTCCATGATTCTTGCCTCCTCGGTGGAAAATGATTTATATTTAAGGCAAATCTGGACGCACAGCCATGCCCCCTCATTAATCAATTACTAATGAGTGACTAATGAACTTAAAGCACGGCACTCAGAGGGCAGCGCCCCGGAGCAGGAACGCTCTGCCGCTGCCGCAGCTTCTCTGTGTTCTTCCCTTCCCTCTTTCCCTCTGGCCTCAGCAGCGATCCCGTGCTCCGCGGCCACGAGCGGGAAAAGGGGCTGGGACCGTGTGGATGTGGATGGCGGCAGCACATCCCCTGGCAGCGGGCTGGAGCCAGGCACCGAGGATTTTTTTCCTCATAACTGGATTTCCCTGAACGCAACTGGAGCATGCGATTTTAATCCTCTTTTCCTACCATATGGCCGCTGGCTGGCTTGAAATATGACTCAATTAATTATTGCCAGGAAAGCCCCGGAGGCGAAGCCTTTCTCCAGGAGGGGCTTTGGAGATGCTCCCGGGGTCATGATGGGGCTTTTCTCACCCCGTGCCGTGGGATACAGGGACACACGTGGCTCAGCCCCATCCTGCCCCAGCTCCCCTGGCACTGGTTTTGGGGCTTTTTTTTCCCCGGCATTTTCAGCCTTGCAGGAGGGAAGGCAGGGAGGCTGCTTGGTGCTGTTCACATGATGTGCTGCTGGCTGTGACACGAGTCTGGCAGTCTCAGCATCACCTGGATAACGCCTGGAGTTGGCCTCACCCCCGAAACGGGGCATTCCCGGCTTGGGAGGACCTGTGGGTCCCCCCCTGCCACTAACATGGTGCCTCCACATGCCCCTTGTCTCTCCCAAATTCCCTGGGAGCCGCCAGCTTCACTCCCAGTGGATAATACATCGGCATTAAGGATCTCGTGGTGTTTTCTCCAGGATCCTTGCAGTAGTGAGCTGGCGGTGGCCTCGTGGGGCACATTTTGGATCTGGGGGAGATGATAACCAGGGCAGGAGGGGTTATCAAGGCCAGGAGCAGGCAATCCTGATGGGATTCCCATGGATAGATGGCTGTGAGCTGGTGACAGAGCTCTATTATTATTAATAATAATATCATTATTATTATTAATCCCCAAACCATCCTGCTGCTTTGCCACCCAGTGCCAACGTGGCAGCAGGAGGAAAATGCAATAAAGAGGTGACTTTGCTGGGGTGGGCAGTGCCATCCCACGAGGCAGCCCCGCTGGGATTCCAGAGCCTTGGCCTGGGAGCAGCAGCGGCCGAGGCACCACTTGTGCTCCTGAAACCCAGTGAGTCACCAAAGGAGGACAGCCAGGCAATGGCACAGGCTGTTACCATAGTAATTAGGGCTGGAGAGACGGTGCTGGAGCCTCACAGACCCCGCTGTGTCCCCAAAAAGTACCGCCCAGGGGTGTCTGTGCCGCTCCATCCCGCGAATCGGTGCCGGGATGCTCCAGCCTGGAGCGCTGGTGACACGTGTGGTGCCACCAGGGACCACGGGGGGCTGCACCTCCTTCTCCCTCCTGCTGGACTGACCCATTTTGGGTTGGGAATAAGGGGTTCACTGAGGGAAAAGCGCCATTTTCGGCACAAGTTGCATCAGTTCTCAGCATGGCTTCTCCAAGCCTTTCACTCCTGCGCCCAGAGTGGGATGTGGGAGCAGGATATATCTGTGTGTGATCACAGCTGGAGGAGAAACAGTGGGAATGAGCAAAGGGATTAGGGTGGGTTTTCAGTTTTTCCTGCTTTTTGGGCTCTTTTCTCGCTGTTTCTCCCTCTCTGGTTTCTCGCTCAGCCCCTTTTTGGGGTCGCAGCAGCTCCAGGGAGGAGGGATGGGGGGAAAGGCAGCAGGATACGGTACCCCAAGATGCAGGACAGGATGTGAGATGCATCCTGGTCCACCGACCAGGGAATTTTTGCACTTGGCCTGGCTCAGTTTTATTCCCTCCTCACTCCCAGCATGGCCTCAGTTTTCCTCCTCCGTGCCGCACGCATGGGGCAAATTCCCTCAAAACCGGCCCCTCTAAAGCACAGGAGCAGTGTTTCCCCCTCCAAATCCCGAGAAGGACAGCAAGAGGAGGCTCCTGGTTCTGCTGATCCCAGGGCAGGGCGTGATGGCTGCGGAGAGCACGGGCTGCCATTCCCAGCTCTCCGCACGCCCTCGGCACGACACGTTTGGCGCTCGCCCCACGGAAAAGCAGGTCTGAGCCGGGGAGAAGGACGGGCTCCAGCCGCCAGGAGGACGCGGATTTGGCTGCGTGGGGAAGTAGGGCTTGCTCCAAAACCCATCTGAGGTGTCTGGGATGGTGTCCGTGGAGCGTGGACTTCGGGTCAGGCCGGTGATTAATTAATGATGTCTTTGATTAGTGAGGTGCAAGCGGATCGCCAGCGCGTGGCGGGCTGGGAGGCTGGATGTAGGATCAGAGGATCACAGAGTCACAGGATGGCTTGGGTTGGAAGGGACCTGAAGGACCATCTGGGATGAGTGAGGATGCAGCCGTGCTGAGGCTGAAGTCTGAAATCACTCATCAGCATTTCACGTCAGAACGATAGACTTCAAACACCAAACCAAATTTTTCACAGGCTCAGCGGGAAAAAAAAAAAACCTCTGAAATGGCAGCATAGCAAGCCTTAAAAAAGCAGCAACTTTGCAGTTGAGATACCCTTGATAATTCCTGGGAAGCAGCTGTGCCAGGATCTGCTTGTCCTACCAAGCACAATTAGTTTTCAGCTTATCTCGTCCTTCCCTTGCTTTTCACACGGCAGTTTTCTTCCCCTGTTGTCCATGACAATGGACAACAAGGGAAGAAAATTAAGAAAATTAACCCATGCCTTGGGTTAATTAGTTTATACCAGGGAAGGTCGGGGTGTTGCTGGATTGTGGTCGGAGGGTCCAGGCACCGCAGGGAGGTTTCTGGTGGTGGGAGATGCTTTCCTCCAGCATCCACAGGCCAGCTGAGCTGGGGGTTGGTTATTCCAGGGGTGCTGCCGTGCCCCCCAGGGTGCTGTTCCTGGCACAGCTGGGCACTCTGGAGCTGTGGATAAGCTCCTTTTTGCTGAGTTGGTGTCTTGGTTTAACAGGTTTATCATCCCGCCCTCACTTGCTCTCCCGAGGGCTTTGGGAAGGAAAGTTGGCTCTGTTGATCCCATGATGATCCCTACAAGTGGCTCTCCTGGCTGGAAGGGTCCTGGCTGGGCAGCTGCGAGAGTGAGAGGGAATGACTTAGGTGGGAAGGAGCAGCCTTGCCCGAGCCTTGGGATCCTGAGCATCAGTGCTCCTTCCTGGACCTCATGAAATCTGTCCGAGGGGAAAAAAAAAAATCCCTGGCAGAGCATGGGATATTCCCACTGCATGGGATATTCCCACTGCAAACTCCTCTGTGTTGCTGGTTTTACCCCACGCAGGGCTGCTCAGCGTCCTTCCTCCTTCTGCCTGCAGCTTCCTCCGACCAGGGAGGATAGATCCCAGATCCAAAGCCTGGCTGCTGCCTTCTGGAGCTGCCTGTGCCCATCCCCATGGAAAGATCTGCCTGTGCCCATCCCCTCGGGCAGAGCCACCAGCTGCAGTGGGGACCGTGGGGACATCAGTGCCATGGGGACATCGGTGCCCTGTGCCACCACTGGCGTCTCTGCCCAGGGACACAGCCCTAATTATGGCAGGTGCCCAGAGTGAGTCTGTGCTGAGAACACCCTCCTCCTCCTCCTGCTCCACCTGCCTCTGCTGGAACCCCGTTTTTCCCAAGGCTGGCACCTCGAGGAAAAACTGGCACTGCTGGGGTGAGTTCGTGCTCTAATTACAGTCGGGTGGTTTCGGTGCTGTCGCGTCTCTCGTGTCAGTCCTGCTGTGTCAGGAAGCCTGTGCTCCTCCACGGCAGCTCCCGTGGCTGGGTCCATGCCCAGCGAATGCCAGCGTTGCTGCAGCCCCAGGCTTGGAATCATGGGATTGTTTGGGCTGGAAAAGCCCTCCAAGATCATCGAGCCCAACCGTTCCCCCAGCGCTGCTGAGCCCACCACTAACCC